TTGTGCAGTAGATATTTTAGAAATGAATTGCTGTATGGTTTAATTAGTTCATTATTATGCCTATTCTTACACGGTAATTTCTTTTATCATTCTAATCATTCACTTCACACTTTTTAAACCAAATGGAATATCAAAGGTTCTGTAGGATTATTTTTGGATCTTGCACATGTTTCACCACACAATTAATCTGTTTGTCAGAAATACTGGTTAACTTCTTCTCTTTACTACTTTCCTTTACTAGTGATTTTTCTCTATTATATAAGACGAAACCACCCCTATCCTGCAAAAGGACAGGCTCTTGATGCTTTTGACTCAGTTTATTAAAGAATTTTCAATTGTGCACTAGGCATTACAATAAAATAATTTAATTTTTATAAAGTTTTATAATTGAATATTTTCCTTTATTTATATCTCATCTGCAATATTTATTCAGTCTTTTTACATGTCTTTACTTAGTTAAAATGTGGAGAGATAAATAGGGTTGTTCCTTTGCAGGGAAGATTCAGTACATTAATATAAACTGTACACTAATTCCCCCAAAGCATATATATATGTTGTAAACCTGAAGACTTTTTACACAGCTGCTTATTGCTAAACAGTGCCTTGTCCAGAAGGGGACAATCTGTGTCTCTAATTGCTGTCACTGAAGCTGAGATTCATTATGTGACTTTCCCATTAAAATGTGAGCATTAATTTGTATAATGAAATATCACCCACTGCAGTGTTCATTAGCCATGCCCTACTGTATACTGCACATTGTTAGCTACCTAGAAACTGTAGTTAATTTCACTAATGGATATTTCCCTACTTAGTGTTTGGTAGGAAATTTATACTGTAACGTTACCTCTTAAACTTTTAAGGAAATTTAAATTCAATCAATTATTTTCAACAAAAGTTTGGGATGTCATTAAGACAGGAGAAAAGGCATGCTGTACAATGTTAAGGATGGGAAATCTGGAGAAATCTAGAGAAATGAAAAGTCCTTTTAGTTCATCTTAGAAATGTAAGAATAAAGAATGTTCAATACCAAAATTGTCTCCTCTTGGAGCACACATACCCATTTTCCTTAATTATTCATATTGCTCATCCCACTACAAGCGCCTTCAGAGAATGGCAACAGGCAGTCTTTTTTTAGGAAGAAAATGTGAATTGAATTCATTTAAAACAGCATCATTTTTACTGTATTTCATCAGTTCATCTAAGCAAGTTTTAAAATTGGCTAGTCACCTTTCCAAGGGAAAATGCAGTAACACTGTAAATGTGCATAGTACATCTAATGCATGTAAGATATGTGTCATACATATCATAACATACTTGCAGTCAGTGGACACAGCCCTGCCAGGTTTTTTCTTGCTATCCCTGTCTTAGGTTTCTTCTGTTTAGCACAACCCAAACCTTCTTCAAGGCTGTCCTTGCCTCATGCACATTATTCTTTTTTCAGTATTCAAGGGATTTAACTGTGCTGGTCATACTGGGAATACAACTGAGCACCTAATGATCACATAAACCCAAACTGGTCTACATCTCAGTAGCTTCTGAATGCTCATGCAAGGTACAAAGAAGTGCTAGAGCTAATGAGAAACTGGCCCCTACATAATGTGTCACTTGTCAAAGGCAGAACATAAAAAATTTTAAATTTTTACCCTTAAGTGTTTCAGTGGAGTCCAAAGGCCTAGGCATGTAAAAAAAAATCACACCCATTTATTTTATTTCAGTGGGAATTGAGAGTGCTCAAGGACATAAATAAGATGTTCAGCTCCCTGAACGAAGGAACCTAAAATTGTTGCCCCTCCCAGAGTGGAAAAATCGAAACTCTGGAAGCCTCTTCTCATGGTACATTATGAGTCTGAAATACTGAGGTGGTTTTCTTTTTCACACATTCTGGGCACCTCTAAACCTTCTGTGTTATAACCTTCTCAGCTGTCTTATATCTTATTTTAAAACCAGGAAGCTGAATCACAAAGTGGCCAGTCCACCCACGTGCCTACTATGCACGACTGGTGCACATACATGCTTTGCCCTTGTTTCTGCATCTCTTCACAGTGAGTTTGTGCGAGCTCAAGTTGGTAGCTCTGAAGAAGCAGCCCCACACAGCCCATCGCTACTCACTGGTCAACATGAAGAAGTCCCCTAGAAGGGCTAGAGGATCTGTCTCTCCTCTCTGAGCCCAGAGACTCTGAAGCATTTAGCCCTGAGTCGTTCCTCTCTTCTCTCAGGGTCATACTAAGGAACTGTCTCATACTTTGACTGTTTTTAGAGCAAGAAAGAGAAGAAACTGATTTCACATAATTATGCCCTTTTCTTCTTATTATATGGGAACAAACAGAAATTATATCTTACTATGTTCCCCTTAAAGCTCTTCCTGGCTGAATATCATTGAATTAAATAATAAGAAAAAATCCGTTACAACTGTGTGCTGGGACTTAACTAAGCGTGCTAAATAAAACCCTTTTGTTAACTATAGAAGCTTGTTACATGATAGCAAAGTACACAGAAACTAAAACTCAGTGTGGAGAAGGTTGCAACCATGAAATATCCAACAGAAAAAAGAAGCAACCCAAGCCACTAGCTATTTCTTCTAAAACAGAGCCCAGCTTCCTCCTCTTGTGGAGGATTAAACGGCTCCTCTAGCTTTTTTGGGCCAATTGCCACAGACGCTCCTCCTGGCTGGATCAGACTTTGGGTCTTGTCTTGGCTTGCGTACCAAACCAACGTACTGGTGTGCCTTCAAACACACAGATGTTCGAAGGAACCTGACTTCTGCTGAACTGCTTGAGCTCATCTCTAACAAACAGGTGCTGTGAGAACAAGAACAGTAATTGAGTTAATGTAGTGGAGAAACACAGTAAAGTGTTTTTTATCAGTCAGTTACATGATCCAGGCATATAATAAAGACAGAGTGTGACATAAAAGGCAGGAAACTGTCCCTGATAAGTATGAGCTAAGCAATATTTGTTTAATAATTGGTATCTGTTGCATCATTTCCATGTTCTGCAAAGCAACTCGATTTTTATTTAATAACTCCAGTAATTTGCCAATTAACATTTTTATAATATTTATTAAGATTATTTCCAATATGTAAAACATTTCTCCATTTAAACATACTCTTGTCATTATTTACATTATTTCCTTTGTTCTCAACCTAATGGATATTGATCTTTATCTATTTTAAAATTATGATTTTTAAATATATTGCAAATGTTGTTTCAACAGTCTGTATGAAGTTTTCTTTTTGTTGTTGTTTTGTTATTTTATACATGGTTTATTTTTCCTTGTTTTAACTTTGTTTCGTCACTCTTAATATGCAAGTTTTATGGAATATTTACATTGCCATTAATTTACTTTCCATTAGTTCTAAGCCGCAAATACCAAATGCGTAATCACTGCCATCTTTAAAACAAGACCAAAATGACCACTATATAATAAAGCAAAAAAAAGGATGGGTATCCTCAGGTTATTTTAAATAATTTTTCTTTGCATCTCCAGTAATTAAAATGTCAAATTACTTAAACCTCATAGTTACAAGATTATTTTCCAATAAAATAACTACCATTTATTTACTTTTACTACATTAGAAAGCACACAAACAGGGTTTTCACTGTGGGAGTTGTTTTGTTTTGTATTGTGTCGTTGTTTGTTTTTATTTCACGAAGTCCAACACATGGAAAAGAACATTCTTGCCCTAAATGGTATTCTCCTACTTGAAATTCCAAAATATAATTAACAAACTTTCTCATCTCAACAATGAATTTTTTTTTCTTTAAATAACTTTCTGCTTTCATTTTCAATTTTTCAAAATCAGGCCCCACATTTGAAAACCCAACATTAAGTATTACATCTGCACAAGCACAGAGGAGAAACATGACTGCTGATTTGGGGAAGGGAAGAAAATACTGCTTATCTTGTACTTCAGTGAAATAAAAATTAACAGTGAAGTTTTTCAAGCAGGAGGTACAACTGGAATGTATTTTGTCATGCAATTTATTTTACCTATCAATTAGAAAAGTAGCAGTAAAATTCTGAAACTCATTTAAAATGGCTTAAAAATAAAATGACTCCACAGAGTACCCACTATGTCTGTTTACAAACAGAAGTATCCTAAATCTCCAGCTTTGGACATTCTCCCAAAGCCTAATATGATACCTAAGACTTGGAAGAACACATTATGATTAGCCATATACAGAATTTCTAGTAATGACAACAGGACCTGAGGATATTAGGATTTTATGTCAGATTTTCATTATGTAGAGTAATTCTTTGTAAATAGATAATATGTTTCTACATGAACCTTACCATGCACATACATACTTCTAAGCAAACAAGGTACTATAATTTAAATGAAGTGGTTATAGTTTACTGGTATCGAGGGCAGTCCACCTAATGAATGACACACCAAAATAAAGTGAGAAACCAGACCAGTTGAAAGTGTCTGTAGGGTAGAAATGCTGTGACTGTTACTAAAATAAAACGTGATAAGTTTTACCATCGTGCAAAATGTGGTTTTACTGCTTTGAAGTACTAAGTTGGCTGGGTTCTGTTTAAAAAAAATGCAGATCCATGAAGCTGATGCATTCATATGAACAGTGAGAGGTTAAAAATGAGCATGCTAAATGGAACAAAAATAGTAACTCAGAAAAACATACAGAATCCCTAAGCAGATGCTAAGGAAGGCCTTTGAAGCAGTTAGTATAACTAAGTCTGAAACCAATAGGCTTATGCCTATTGAAGGACAAGGGTAATTGAAGGAAACAGTGATGAAGCAGGGAAGGAGACAGAAATAACCTCAACTGGGAAAAGATGATTCTATTAAAGTGGTCTTTATCCAACAACACATTCCTTGTGCTTTTATTTAAGACTGTCATACATCTTTCTCAAAAGACTTTCTCCAACTAATGAGCCCAAATCTACAGTGGGAATTAAGGCTCCTAGCCACATATTACGTTAACCCCCACACACACATGGCATGTGTCGACAGCGCTCCGCTCACTTGTTCCTCTCACCTGTATGTATTCTCAAGTGGACCTTTAAGTGGTGGGATGTTCTGAAAGTTTTTCCACAATATGGGCAGTCTTTCATGGCAGAACCAAGGCTCCTGTCCCTCAGTAAAGCTGGCTGCTGGACTCCTACAGATCTCCCAGCTTCTTCTCCAATGTCTGCAACACAGAAACGTTCTCACATCACTTCAGCACATTGTTCTTGCTAAAACTGCTAACACAACACAAAGTTAAACATGTCAATACTACACCTGTCTATTTCATTCTTTAAATCTGACAGAATGCTGACAATTCATGTATTTTCTTGTTATTGTCTTAAATTATTTCATCTTTCCTATCATCATTTTAAGCAGCATATGGTACCTTTATATTGAACTGAATTACACAAGAAAAGAAACAGCTGTGTCAGCAGCTGGTTTGATTTCTTCTTTTACTTAGTTCCTATTAATTTATTCCCAAAAAGTTTTAGATTGTTGTTTTGTTGATTCTATTTCATTTATAAGTATTGTGAAAATCTGTACTTTCAGAGGGAAAAAGTTTGCATGGGTATATTAAAACCTCCCGTAACAACAGAATTGCAGTGACAGGGGCTTCAACAGAAGTGGCGATGTCTACACACAAAACTCATCAACTTCCTTCTGCAACATTCCAGTGCTGGAGTTACAATACAGGACGTAGCAAGTGACCTAATATCATGGGAAAGGCAATGAAAAAATGGGTCAGATGAGGAGGAAATCCTTCTCCCTCTCACCAGCAGCTCCTGCGTTTTCTCCTCCAGTGTTCACAACTACACTTACTCTTTGCATCGTAATACAATGAGTGAGACTCCAAGACATCTCTTCTCTCTCCCGATATAAAGAAAGAGTCATTCTCAGCCATCTTGAATAAGCTGCTATTATCCAAGCAGGCTATGAACAAAATAACTTACAAAAGACTGACATAAAAATTGCAAAAACTTAGGGCATTTTTAAAAAGCCATTATTCAAACCACACAAGACTCATCTACCGTATTTTGTACTTACAGGGTCATGTAATATCACATATATGTATCAATTCATGATTTCACGAAAAAGTATTATGGCAAATGTTGGAATTATGAACTGGATTTATGCTACTGCCACGTCACGGAGGTGCAATACACATGGACACATCATCACGTCCCTATGCAAAAGCTGGGCTATCGCAGTTATATTGAGGTGGGGTGCATATAGTTAACATCTGCGTGTAGAGTCTTGATTATTTCAACCATAAACTACTGACTAAAAATGTCCTGTCTTTACCCATTTGATACGTAACTAAAGCTGTCAGGAAACATAGTGCAGTTTACACAGCACTGCCTTTTAAATGGAAGCGATGGGACATAAGAAAGACTTAAATATTTGGCACTAATGAAAACTATTCACGCAGTTGCAGAGACACAAATACCACATTTCTGGAAAAGGTAACACTAACAGGCATTTCATTATTTACTATAAATGGCCCCTCTAAACTATTTTGCTTAAAGCTGAAAGAAGAGGATGGTAGAGTGATAAAATAGATATATCTCTATATCTGCTTATCTTAGTCATGTACGTAAGCAAGCTATTGCTAGTTTTCAAAAGGCAGAATCTGATAGTTTTCACATCACATTCTTGTTTAACATTTTCTGATTGTTCTTAGACTGCAGAGTTCAAGCACAATATTTAAGTTAGAAAGCTAGTAACTGTCATTTTGAATTATTCACAAGTATGTAAAGTAACATACTGCAGGAGTTTATTTTGCCTTTAAGAGTCCAGGAAAACATATATAGGTGCTAGTCTATAATTCCAATCTCCCTAAAGAGTTGAGACTTTCCCCTTTTTCACTCCTCAAAAGTTGTATATAATCATGTCTTAAGCTGCTTTGGGAAAAAATTAATTCCTGAGTGCAGAAAGATTTTTCTGAAGTGCAAAATACAGAATGCATGATGATAAACTGCAGGATTTTATTTTGGTTTTCAATAAATACTATATGAGTGTTATAGATAAATATATAGATAAAGCTAACAAGCCACTCAGGAGGAATTTACCGAATGAGTCTACTAGTTATGTTTTGCTATATGTCACTCTAAATGATGGCCTGTTATCCATTTGGCTTTTATCTTTCTATCTAGAATATGTGTGGCCCAATAAAAAAGAATAAATTTGTAAGATAAACAGCTCGCTTTGCAGATTTAAGAGTCTAATTTTCACTTTACACAAAATTGAATTTTTTCAAGGCAGCGAGACGATGGAGTTTACTCTAGCACTAATCCCTCTGAAAAAGCAAACTGAAAACAACAATGAAGCAAAGAAAGATGTGGGTGGTCTGAAGAGTTTTCTTTTAGATTTAAGTAGACATACAGTAGATAGCTCCAAAGGCTTTGCTCCAACAGGGGCCTTACCTTGAAGAATTTTTCTTCCCACAGTGAAAGCATTCCTAAGACTTTAAAGCTGGGCTGAGGGGTTTTCTTTTGAATTCCTCTGCTGACAAAGCCCACCGAAGCGCTGGAGGCCATCGCTACCTGAATGAGCAGCTTTACATCTAAGTTCTTTTATTTCAGACATTGAAAAGATATGTTCGAGGCTGCCGACTGTCCCCATCAAATGCTACCCCAGCTTCTTACTAGGGCCTCATTTTGGCAAATCATACCTACTTGTCAAGGCACTTAAGTTTAAAATGTGCTTAACTTTAAAATGCATTTAAGTCTCACTGCTACCAACGATTTTTTATACCAAGTCTCTCAAAGCAGTCTATGGCAAGTTAAGGAGGGGGGGTGAAGTGATACAGAAAAAAAGAAGAGATCAGCAAGTGAAAATTTAAGAAGCAAACTGGTGAATACAGACTATGCCAACAACAGTGTATGTGTGGAATGAAAAATCTTCAGCTGTACCAATACTGGTGTATTCTACACCTCCGATGTCCCTTTTCTCCTGCTACTGAGACCCCCTTCTTCAGTGGAAACTCACAGTTCTGTTACATTGTGCAAATCTGTAGTAATATTTTACAGACCTGCAGAACTAGGACTAGCCCCCAACAATTTAATTTATGATTTACTTTGGATTTGAGCTATGGTTTTCGGGCTGCTCCATTCTGAGGATAAAAGATCAGGAAGGAAAGAGAACAGTTACTTATCTTCCAGCCATTGTGGTTCACTGAGTTATGTGGTCTACATGACACGCACTTGATGCACATGAGATTAGACTGCTTTTTTTACCATCTACTTCCATTATAGGCAGGTCTATGTCCTGAATGTCTTCCTGCCCATCCCTATCTTTCCTGATTCGAGTGCAGGAAATAACAGAACAGAGTATAAAATATTGTACAGATGTACACGCTAGATGTAAGGCTTCCAAGCCTTGTCTCTGAACTTTTGCTGAGCTTTCCTTTCACTTTGAAAGCACTTATTCACAGCAAAAGTCATAGACAGAAGTGCAAAAGGCAACATTTCGTTCTGTTGATGAAACTGTTTTTTGTGTCAGGATAAGGAGAAGGCAGCAGCTGCGAGACCTCCAGCTGTTGTGAGCGCTGGACCTGCTGGGCAGGCAAACACTGCTCCGTGGCACAGGACACAGAGGAATTCAGCCATGAAGCTGCTTCTGGGGTGGTATGACAGGGACATCTCTTGTGTCCTGTACCTCAGCTACCCTTAATGACTGACTGTGCACATGTTCTTATGGGACAAATGCAAGGAAAGAAAGTTTGCTTTAACATCCATATCAGAAGGTGGCAATTAGCTGAATAACTAAATAGCCAATTTGGCCAAAATATGAGCAAATCTATTTGCTACGCAGACTGAAATGAAAACGAAGCAATCCATAGGATTAGTATTTAAAGGTCTAGCCCTTCTTCAGGCAGATGCCCACTTCTCAGGAGAGGGGGCACAAAAAGCCACCACTCCTTGCCTCGCATGGAGATGACCCATGTAGCGCTGCAGGCTGCTCTTATACCCCTGTGGTACATAGAGAGACTTCCACAGAGCCCGATAATCCCAATAAACATGTTTTGAACCAGGAGCACTTTTACAGTTCAGGTTAAAAGAAAGTGAGAAACACATCAGTGAATCCTTTCTTACAGCAGGCATCTTATAAGGTATCAGAAATTATCTACCCTGAAATGACCCACTGTCATGGCTGGCAGTGCCCTCAGCACACAGATAAGGATGCTACAGGGGCACAAAGCCCCTGTGGATATTGAGTGGATATTCTTAGGAAAGAGAAGACAAACCTAGGTGGACAGTGAAGTGGTGTACTCAGAACAGAAGATACCTAGCCAGGCATATGAAGAGCAAAAGAAAATTAATTATTTGAAATCTCTATATATGTTCTTTATGACTGGTCTACCTCTCTGAGATGAGTCTACAAACATAATTAGAAAAGGATTGATTGCTTTTGTGAAAGGAAGCCTGCTTTCAGTAAGTTAGGTAGCAGCACTGACTTCAGTTAGCCATGTTAGCAGCTGAATTTTCAAAGGAGCCATCTACATATATGTCCCGTAAATTTTACTGGAGTATTTATCTGCTGCGTGTATGTGAAAGTGCAGGGATTCTCAAAGAGGTACTTTCATGTTCAAAGGAGCTAAATTGCAGTCCTCATGCAGACTAAATTGTCAGTGAAGTCAGTTGGAATTTGTCAACACAAGGATTGCCAAATTAGACAAAACCAGGCAATCACATGGAAAAGGTAATCAACTCACAAAATAGGTAATCACACATACAAGTATGTGTTTGCTTTTGCACATTTTTCAGACATTATTAAAGAACCCTTTGAAAATGTGGTCAGAAGCCTTTAAAGATCCATATAATCCCAGTTTTTCATATAATCCTGAAATTCAAAATACTTGTTGCTCTTTAGAACTGCCTTTAAAAGTTAATGAAACATAGTGCAACAAGAAGTGGTAGTGATCATGGGGTAGTTTTTTGCATCTATAAACCACCTAGATTAAATCACCTTGCAGCAAGAAAAATGATATCCTGAATCTAATGTCAAGAAGGGAGTTAGAAGATATTCAGTATGTTAATCCTGTCACTGCTGCCACTTTTATGCAAGTATGCCTGGACTCAACCACCTCATTCCCTTGGAAGCAGTACAGGTTACACAGAGTTTCTGGGAAAACATGCTTTACCTTTCTTGCCTGTTCCTTACAGAAAGCTTTAATACTAC